AATGTTCGTAATTCACGTAATGGAGTGGCTGTACAAAAGCATGCATTTTAAGTATCAGTGAATCGAACGTACGTTAGGAATAGACCGCTTGTGTATGTATTGCAGCAATATTTTTGTGTTTAATCACGGACCTACCGCTTTTTCCGTCACATCCAACTTAATGCGTTAGAAAAAAGAAGGCTCTCAGAAGAACTATATATACATTAAACACTAAAACTAAACTGATAAAGTGACAGACTAACGAATGCATGTGCTTTATCTATATACAAGATGTAAACTCTGCCAGTGTCGTAGTAAATATGTTTACAAATCTTCTCACTCAGCTTTTGTCTTTTCAGAGGTCGCTGTTCCTTATTTTTCGTCATTTATTTCTGTCTTCTTCATTTAAACCTTTTTTCTCTCCATTCCTCTGCCACACAGCTCTTCCATCTTGTCCTCGATCTTTCTCTAACTCCCCTTCCCTTGATTTCTAACGGCTCTATCCTTCATCCCACATAGATCTCATTTCTACGTCTGAAGTGACCAAATCATTGCAGTCTTTGTTATTGAATCATTTTTGAGAGTAGTCATCCCGGCTATTTCCCTAATCACGTCATCCCGAATCGTGTGGTCTTACCTAACATGTACGTAACATTTTCAATTTTGCTACCTCCCTCTTCTTGAAACTTGATTGCAGGCCAAATTTCACCGCCGCCGTACAAAACGCAGGCTTCACCACACTTGTCTATATTCCCCGATTTTTCGATCAAATGTTACCCCGCTAATTCGCTTCCAGTTAAACCAATCAGCCTGTATCTTGTGGGCAATTTCTCGATCTAGATGCCTATTTTCCGGTATGTAGGAGCCAAGGTATTTAAATTATCCTACGCGCCTTACTTTTTCCCCAAACAATTTTTATCCAACCATTCCTGTTCCTCCCAGCCGCATATACTCTGTTTTAGACCTGTTTACCTTAAGTCCTCAATGTTTAATAGACTTTCTCCAATCTCTTCCCTTACCTTCGCTGTCAGTACATCGATGCATACTTTATGCAAACCAACCGTGACAGGAAAACTTTCGGTCAATCCGATAATGTCCTTACATACTTTTCAGAAAACCCATTTCTCTCTCATACATAATGCATATCCATATCTTTTGTCTAGGAACTGTCTTAAACGCAGTCTACGCCTTAAGTTAATCGAGGTGAGGTGACTCTCTACATACTCGTTGAATTGCCGAAATAACTCAGTCGGTGTCGGTAGGCAGGCTTTATTGCACTAGCAATGATATCTAGTAAAGTTAAGTTGAGTAATGTAGTGTGACACTTCGTATTCGAACTTAGGGCCCTTTGACATGGACGCGAAAAATCGACACAGAACGGAAAATTTGGACAGAAAAATCGGAAGTAGAACGAGGCAAAGCGAAGTCGCATGAAGTACCTGTCTACACTCTCGTATTCGCTGAACTTCGATCAACTTCGCGAGTAGTATAGTAGCTAGCCGCTTTGCTCCTCAAGATCTTCGCTTATTTCTCTATTAATTGTTTCAAAGCAAACAATGCATATGTTGTCCTCCCTCCTGATATAAACCCAAACGGTTCTTCTCCTATCGATGTCTCTCTCCTTAACCTTCGTTTTCCAGTTCTCTCCTAATATCCATTGTGTGTGCCATTCATTGTATCCCTCTATAGTTCTTATAGTTGAATATTCCGTTTATCTTTATACAGTGGTACCATCACACTTACTTTATCTTTATACAGTGGTACCATCACATTCTCTCCATGCATTACTCATCTTTTCTTCCTCATATATCCTACTCATCACTTACCACAACATATTAACTCCCTCATCTCCTCACCAGGTCGTGTGTCATTCTATTTAAAGCCTCGACAATTTCATCTCTCGTTATCCCCGGTATTATATTCTCTTTTGGGATCACGTATCCTCTGTCTCTCCTCTGGTGTTATTTATTTAGCAACTTTCTAAAGTGCTCATACCATCTTTGCATATAAAGTATTTTTACACTTTATATGTATAGTAGAGCGTCGATTATCTGAACTATAATCGGGGGACATGGGTTGTCGGAGGAAAGGGTTATGGGTTGTCCGTTTTTTTCTCATAATCGAACTGTATTGATGTATAAATAGCAGCTATACATATTGATCCACTGATGAATGAAAGCCATATTTACAAACTTAAATATGCATTTATATATTTAATGACAAATAGGAATTAAACAAAAAAGTGCAGTCCCAAATTTAAAGATTTTTTAAGCGTTAATTACTAATGCTTACAAAAATCTTCAGTTCTCATCTGCCGAAGCAAGTCTACCCGTTTACGAGAGGCTAGATCACGTAGTTTTTTAGGGACAGGTATTTTTCACTCCAACATCGATGAGTTTGGGCTTATCAACAAGAAATAATGTTTTCTCTCTTTTGATATTTTTTAATTGATGAGCTTTAACAGAGAATATAAAAGTTTCTATAAACCAGTCTATGAAAATTGTACGATCCATCTAAGCACTCTTATGCGAAGTGTAAGCGATAGGCATCCCAGACATACTAATGTGTTTAAAACAACGTGGTTTCTTGCTTTTACCAATGGCAAGCATTAGAAATCAGTGACTACCAGTACCATTAGCACAAGCTAAGGCAGTTATACGATCCTTGCTTATTTTAGATCCAGGTACTGATAATTCGCGACGAGACGCAATAATTTTTATTGGAAAAGCTTTCCAAGTGAGCCCAGTTTCATTGTAAACGTTTTGGAGGGCGTTATAAGATAACAGGCAGAAATATGTCCAAGTTATAATTAATATAGTATTTATTGATAATGACAAGTCACCGAAACTTTTCAACAACAATAAAGGAAACATACCAAAGAAATTCAGACAAAAATAATATTTTAAATTTATATATGTATGTGTATATATATATATATATATATATATATATATATATATATATATATATATATATATTATATATATTATACTTATACGTACATATCAGAGGTCATAGGCGTACTATTGAATATGAGTTTGAGTTAGTTTACATTTATTGTGTTAAGTGCTGTATTAAGGTGGAACTATCAGATCATGTCCACCAAATTTAAAACTAAAATATTTTTCTTACTAACCAAAATTTAATGTAGGTACCATGGGCTTGAAATCACATTGTTACTAATCATATGCTTAAGAGCGTAGGCGCAGAATTTCGGGCCAGTGCTTTTTAAATGCATTCATTTTTTTCGAATCCTGAGAAATCCAACAAATATTTTTGAAAAATTTAAACGCAGAATAAAAGATTACATTATTACCGAAGGCCGAAAGTCCCTTAGAATAAACAAAAAGTTTTTTTGAATGAGATATTTAAAATTAAAAATCACACTAAATTTTCTCTTTTTTCTCACCTCTGTATTTTATTAAAATAAACATTATAGAAGTTTTCAGAGACTTTCGGTCCTCGGTAATAATGTATTCTTTCATTCTGCGTTTAAATTTTTCAAAAATATTTGTTAGTTTTCCCAGGATTCGAAAAAAATGAATGCATTTAAAAAGCATTGGCCCGAAATTTTGCGCCTACGCTCTTAATACAATATCGATGTATTGGAGAATCAAAATTGGAAATACTCCTTATGGTACAGTCGCAAAATAACAAAGTTTTAATGTAGAGATTCACATCATTGTTAAAAATTTTCCTTTTAACATCTGAGCAACTCTCTAACTTTTCTATTTGTATAGCCGGATTTCTTTTAACTGGTGCCGCGATATCTGATCTTACCAATTGTCTTTTGGGCCTGAGTATTCAACATAAACATTATTTTTATTTTTTATATATTTAAACACTTCAGGATTATCAAGAACTTTTATCGGAACCAGTCAGCTCACATAAAAGTCGGAAATGACAACATCGGATATTCAAATTCATGTAGTTAGACAGGGATGTATAATATTGCTACTACTGTTGACTTTATATTCTGAATACATTTTCCAGAAGGCCTTAAAATATATAGAAGTAGGAATAAAGGTGAATGGAAAATCTATTAGTAGCATCTAACATCCTAAATTAATGTATCTGTTCAATATCTTTCTGACATAAAACCTCCCCACAGACTCTTTGTTTCTTGTCAGTCGTTTAGGCGCATGTCAAAGAACACTCTATGATGCAATTTGCTGACTGAATAACATGGGTACGAAACTAGAGTATTTTATGATTATGGATTGGTCTGCGAATGAGTCACATTGTTTTTTTATTTTGTTTGCTGTCGTTTGCAAAAAGTTATTAATCGATGCTATTTTAGATTGTGTATTGCAATCGGATGTGATGTGAATAAACATTATCCTGATATCCCGTGACTTCGATATCGTGCCCTGGAATACAAGAGTTTGTCCAGCTTCATGTCGCGCACAGTAAATACCGTTGGCGCTCAAGAAGTGAATAACGTCTACAATTAATATAGAGCATGGCATGATGTTCTTTACGCAAATGAACCAAATTCTTTTTTTGCAATCCTTTGTGATGTTTAGTAAGTACGTCACATATCTACTTAAAGGCCTTTTTATATATGGTCGCAATGTGACATACAAATAGATCGGATAACGCGAGACTGGTTAAGATGAACGACCACTACATTTACATTTGGCTCTTTTGAATTAAAATTTGACAGTTTTTCACGTACCTTTGAAATTATATTTTTGCATACATATTATCTTTTTACGCTTCTAATTTTCTTTTGCTTGATATAATACTACTTTTTATATTACATGCTCTTTTTCTTGGATCATTTTAACGTTTTAGATCAAGGATATTTTTATGATTGCAGTAAAATATAGTCTTTAATAATATCAATTAATGCGTGTCATTTATTGATCCGTGCATTGTAAAAACCGGATGCACCTTAAGGAGACGAAGAATTGTTTGTGTCATATCTTTTGTAAATAGTTGATAAATTTAATACTATCATCTTTTTGTAATAATATACATATGATATTGCGGCTGTTTAATTCTTATCCATTTTACAGATGTCGAAGATGTAAAGTTTGTGATAAATTTCGATTATCCTTCAAATTCTGAAGATTATGTTCACCGAATTGGTCGAACAGGTCGATCTCAAAAAACCGGAACTGCTTATACGTTTTTCACGCCCAGTAATTTTAACAAAGCCTCCGATTTGGTAGCTGTCCTCAAAGAAGCCAAACAAGTCATCAATCCCAAATTGCAGGATATGGCCGATAGAGGTTACTCCGCTACCAATTCAATCAGAGGTAAATATGAATACATAAAAAACGATTTGTTTGGTTTATTATCATAAAATTAGCTCAAATATGCAAAAAATGTAAAAGAATATGCGTAATATATGCAAAAGTATGCAGACGTAAATAATTAATTATCATCTTGTTCATAAATTTTGCATTTAAAAACCAATTTATATAATAATATTCTAAAATGCCTTCCTGCTAGTATTTAAGGTCTTATTTTTTATACAGATTAAACCTGCAGTAAGATTTGAAATATAATTATGACATTTATTTATTTTAACACATTGGATGCCACGTGACCCCTATGGGGATCACGCTGCCATTTGAACTTGGGTACATGTGATTCCCATGGGTTCCATACGACACTGTTGTAATTCTGTACGTGTGGCTCCTATTGGGAGCACGTTTCAATGTATTTCTTTTGGAGAAAATGTTGTTGTGGTACTAGGCTACACCTTTGTCTACTTGCTTTTCTGATAGCATGTGTATTAAGCATACAATAGTCTACAGAATTTTGGAAGTTACAGTTAATTGTTTTTTATTATGGACAAAATAAAGAATCATCAACTATTTAAAGTTAATGTTTCTTGACAAGCATGGCAATCTTGACAATCAGTCGAAATAGTTGTAGTGATAAGAGTTTAAAATAAATATTGTGCAAGTTTTGAAGTTTTCAGTGTTTTATTGTTACAGAAATAGTTTAGCTATACTGTGGAAATAATCAGTGTTCTAAGGCTCCGGCAAGGATCTTTAATACAAACCACCCAGAAATAAACGCAAGTCGCCAATACGTTAAACATTTAACTGATAAGTTTGAGGCTACAGTTAACGTTAACAACACAAAGCACGAAATAGACCACCGAGTGCGAAATAAATCAGTTAAAGTGGTGGTATTTAGTTATTTACAAATGGATAATCGACAGTCTATCATACAACTATCTCGTGCATCTGGTGTATAGTCGTACCAGAGATCTAAGAGAGTCATTAATATTTATTATCGATAAGTGTCTACCGCAAGGCAGCGTTGGATCGCCTCTGGGCAAGATCGTACTTTTATTTTCGATTTGCATTACTTATTCGATTGTTAGGTGTGTTTAAAAGCCGGCCTTTAGCATTGTGCAAAAGCTTCACCGACAATTCCACCCTTGTCGATTTCGGAAAATCGCGTCCCACGAAAAGTTTTTATATTATATGTTTCATTTTGATTGTATATTAGTGTTGTTAATCGCTTACCAATTTTCCTAAAACCATTTATTACAGTTGCATTTACGCCCAAAATGATCCATACAGAGATTTTATTACTCGGAAAATTTGAATGAACATTTTCAAGAAAGGTCGACACATTCAGAAAGTATTAGCATTATACATTTTTTTTATATAAAAATATGCAGATATATGCAATTTTTTGTAAAAATATGAAATTTATTCAAAATGTATTTTGTATGTATTCCGGTCTCTAGTGATAACCATATACAGTAACTATATATATAGTACAGTATACTTTATTGGTGTTCTATGGCATTTATATTTCTTAAGAAATGAGAGCCATGAGAATAAGTCACAATACTTGATTGGTCGTTTAGTCACTAGTGTACATCGAAGATTAATCTATAAAATAGTCAATTACGCACCGAAATTTATTGACGACTTATTTATTATTTTAGGAAGAAGTAGATGGAGTCGAAATCCACGAGGTCGTCGTTCTCTATCTCGTTCTAGATCAAGATCCAGGTCGAGATCTCGTACACCAAGACGCAGGCGCGACCGAAGCCGCTCCAGAGACCGACCTAGAAGAAGAAGATCTCCTAGTAGAGATTCATCACGCAGTCCAAGAAAATCGAGGTCCAACGGTTCCTTATCCCGATCTGGATCTCCCGATTCTATAAAACACAATTTATCAGTGCCACCGCCCATGAATAATCGTCCGCCCAGTCCACCACAAAATATGCACAATCCACCTCCTCAGTTGCTACAACATCCACCGCCGTCTGTAACTCAAAACCTTCCCCCAAATGCTTTACCTCAACCATCTTCTCAACCGCCCATGTTTCAAAACAATAACTTGCAGCAGCGACCGCCAAGTGTCTTGCCGATGAGACAAGCAGCTCCTCCTCTCCTAAATAATACAAATCCTCAACAAAGACCTCCACCTATGCAAGGTCCTCCTCTTATGCAAGGTGTTCCACTTCAACAACAAAGACCACCAGTAACTATTCCCGGAATTCCACAAAGACCCATGCAAGGACCTCCTCCAAATATTCATTTGCAAAACTTACAGCAACCACCTCCTCCACCACCTCAATCACAATTACAACCACCTCTTCCGCAAGGTCCTCCTATGCATCAACCTCCACCTCAAGCGCATCTATTACACCAACCTCCCCCTCAACAAAGACCACCCTTGCATCAACAAGGACAACAAATGTTAGCTTTATCTAACCACAATTTTGTCAATCAAAATCTAGGTCATCAACCTCCACCTGCATCCAACCCGTTTGGTGGTTATCATATACCTAATGGAACACTATTTTTTAACGCACCTCCACCTCCACCACCGGCACAAAGAGTCACTGGAGTTTACTTTCAATACGCTCCTCCACCCCCAGCTCCTCGATAAACACTAGTTTAGTAAATTAAACAGTTGAAAGTATGTGTTAACATAAACATGATGGGAGATTTCTGAGGAGTGAAGAACAGTGTCTATTTTAGTGCAGATAAGTTTCTACTCCAAATATGGAATACGTTTAGCTTTAAGAAAATATTATTTGATGTTCAAACTAACAGTGTTTATGATTTTTTTAAGATTAAATATTAAACTTACTGCTTAATATAAAGTCTTAGGTCAATAATTAATATTTTTTATTTATTTCAATTTTTTGACTGAATTTTGATAACATTCATCAATACGTACAGCTACGCATCCACTTTTTATTTAGTAACAAATTTTCTGAAAGTAGTAGGTGTGTTTCATCAGAAGATATATTTTGTTTCAGCATTAAAGTTGCAGGAAACTTATTTGTTTTAAATTCGATATTTTCTGACTGTTTCTATTTTGCTTCTTTCTGTATCACAAATGAGATCCCTAACCTATCAAAATTCATTATTATTATTGTTGTTACTCTTTTCTTTGATCTAGTTTTATCTTGCATAAATATATATTATCCATGCAATAAAAAGGTAAAACGCTGTGCAGCTTCTGTTTTTTCTATTTTTAGAATTACAATGTTATTGTAGATTATAAATTAAGGGATCGTTTGGCTCTGTAGGCCTTTCCACGCTGAAACCTGAAATGTCTTTTGTGTGTATACGTTACATGTTTACATGATTCCAGTTTTAAAATTGCCCAAATATCTTTTTATTAGATGGCGCTTTTGTTTGCTATTTGGTGACTTATTTTACCTTCTTTCCTGGTCCAGTTTGTGAACTTAATTCCTTCTGATCAATACTCCTTTCTAATTGTTGTCTATTTATCAGTTACTGTATTTTTTTTTAATTTTCATAGGTGCCCTCATCTCTGTTGATTGCAAGAATATACTTCTTTTATGTATAATATGGTAAGTTTTGAATTCCAAATTAACTCGACTTAAGTTAGGTTCGACATTGAAAGCAACTTGATCCGATGAATCACATTTGATTGGTAACATTTGACTATAAAAGTTTTTGTTAGTCAACATTATTTAGCTAGGTGAGACCGCGCTTTTGGTAATAAAATGCTGAATCAATTAATTACATTTTTTAGTGTATGACAAAACTGTTCGAATAAGTAAGTTAAATGTACGGGATATAAATTGTAAACTCTGTCCAATATTTATTTCGTAGCAAATAAAATTGTATATAACAGTAGCTAAATTGACAGTTTGTATTTAACTAGATCTGATTAAAAATCAAATGTACGTTCAAATCATGCAGCGTTTTATTTCATATTGCATTACATACAAAATTAATGGATTCATAATTGATGAAACAATATTCCAAGTGGATGGAAGAATAGTAAAGAGAGGCGTTAAACAAAGTGTTTTTGGCACAGACTTAATTTGTATGTTTTTTAATTACCCAACCATGTTCTTTAGTGAATTCAGGTTAGTTGGTAGTTGAACATATACATAATATGACCCCTCTGTGGCTACACATGAATCCCAGTTTCGATTTCATACCTTTAGTTTCTAAGAATCGTACCATGTTAATTTGATAATATAATATAATGCCACACAGCTTAAGAAGAATGAAGAGAAAGCTTAAGAAATTTTACAAAACCTCAACCACTCTGAATAACTTTCTCTAATATAAAAATATAGAAACTACAACTAAAAAAATGTTTAAACAGAAAGCCAGAAGCACGTGGATTAAATTTTGTTCCAGTGTTAACTGTAGCTGCCCACCAACTCAATTATGGAAGTTGGCGAACAGCAAATACATAAGCATCAAATTAATATGCTCACTCTCTAGTTGCAGAAGATTTCTGCAGAAGTTAAGTTATATTATTTACAAAAAGAAATATCATCATCCGAACTGGAATAGGCCATTAAGATATCCAAAATCATAGCCCCAGGTCTAGATAAGATTTAGTGTATTGTTACAAAAATAGGTATGATTTACTGCAAATTTATAACTGTATCTTGCAAACTGGAATACGTCCTTATAAATTTAATGATTAATTTGTTATATTAATTCTAAAACCGAAAAAACATAAAGATAATCTGGATTCATATTGACCAATTACATTGTTGTCATGCATTTTTAAAACATTCGAAAGAATTCTAAAATTAAGAATGGAAACTTTGTTAAGGCGGCATAGTATACTACAAACAACACAATTTGGCTATAAATAAGGCTATAGTATGCCACATTCAGTGGTTTGTGTGACTACAGATGTTTATTAGATTTTATCATCCTAAAGAGTGTTTATGAAAATATTGATTTAAATATCATCATCATCTTGGTTCTACAGCCCTTAGAGTGCCTCGACCTTCTCAAGCTTTCTACGCCATTCTGTTCTGTCCCTTGCTTGCCTTTTCCAGTTGCCGACTCCGTTCTTCTCGCCATCTTGTGTTACCCCGTCCATCCACCTTATCTTTGGACTACCCCGTCTTCTCATTCCCACGGGTTGCGCTGGTAGAATCTTATCATGTTCGATTCAAGGGCTCGGGCTACATGTCGTGCCCACTGCAGGCGGCGGTTTCACTTAATTATAGTGACAATATCCTTACCACCAAACGTATGCTTGTAGATATTCTGCAGTTCAAAGTTATATCTACGCCTCCATATTCTGTTCTTACAGACCGCTCCGAATATCTTGCGTAGCACCTTACTTTCAAAAATCGATAGAGCAGATTCATCTGTTTTAGTTAGCCTCCATGCCTCTGATCCATATGTGAGAACGGGGACTATCAGTGTTCTATACAGCCTTATACGAGTTTTTTGAGACATACGTTTGTTAGCTAAGTACTTTGATAGACCATGATAACACCTGTTTGCAATTATTATTCGGTTTTTTATTTCCTCAGATGTGTTATTATTGGGGTTAACCGATGTCCCTAAATATATGAACGCTTTGACTACATCGAAGTTTTGGCCATTGATGATTAAATTTGCGTCAACATTTCCATCTCTTGTGTTTGTGTTAGTCGCCATGAATTTGGTTTTATTTTGATTTATATGTAACCCCATTCGTTCTGCTGCTGCTACTAGCTAGTTAGGATTTTTGCAGTTCTCGCCTGGTTCTTGTTATAATGACCACGTCGTCTGCATATGCTAGATTTGGACTGATATATTAAATATTTTTCCCCTGTTATCTAAATTAGCGTCTCGCACAACTTTTCTAAGGCGACATTAAAAAGCTGACACGCCAGCGCATCTCCCTGCCTTAACCCCCTATGTATTTCAAATGGGGTTGACGAGTCGTTTTGAATTTTTACTGCTGATAGAATCTTCGCCGTTGTCACTTTTATCGAACAAATGAGTTTTTTTGGAATTCCTAACTCATTCATAGCGTTGTAAAGACTTGGTCTTAAGTCACTGTCATATGCTGCTTTAAAATCGACAAAAATATGATACATATATATATTAAACTCTTGCGCTTTTTCGAGGATCTGTCGTAGTATAAAGATCTGGTTAATGGTTGAACGTCTACGCCTGAATCCTGCCTGATATTCTCCTAGAAACGTTTCGGTCTAAGGCTTCAATCTCTCGTGCAAAATGTTTGACAATATCTTGTATGCTGTATTTAGGAGAGTTATTCCGCGGTAATTATTGCATTCCAGTTGATTTCTTTTTTTGTGTAACGGGCAAATTAAGCCTAAGCTCCATTCTTCAGGCATTTGCTCCTCATACCAAATTTTATAAACAATTTCTCGCATCACATTGGTGAGGTGCTCTCCACCGTGCTTAAATAACTCTGCTGGGATGCCATCGCTGTCTGGGAATTTGTTGTTCCTTAGTTTTTCTATAGATATTTTCTTGATTTAAATATACTGTCTGATAAACTTTTGTTTCTTGGCCTTCTAAAATCTATGACATATTTACTATAAAATGTATGTATATGAAGACAGAAATGTATCGATTCGAGGTCATAATTGGCAAAATCACACAATGATTACATCAAAAGGCATTCCACAAGGAGCTGTTTTAAGACCGCTTCTTTTTAACCTGTCCACACACGTTTGCACAATTTATCATCATCATCATCAGTGGTGCTACAGCTCTAGCTGAGCCTTGACCTTCCCCAGTCTATTTCGCCAGTCGTTTCTGTTCATCGCCAACCGTTGCCAATTTGCCGCGCCGATTTTCCTTGCGTCCTTGTCCACACCGTCCCTCCATCTCAGTCGTGGTCTGCCTCTACTCCTATTTCCCACTGGGACCGATAATAGAGTTCGTCTGGGTGGGTAATTTTCATTTGCTCTTGACACATGTCCAGCCCATCTAAGCCTACCTATTTTTATGAAGGATTTGCACAATTTATAGACACTCAATATTGTTTGCTTACAATATGGTGATAATAAATCATAGTATGTGAAGCCGTTATTTGCAAAAGTCTCTAATCGATAAAAAGATCAAGGTATTTGTTTACATTAGTAAGGGTCGCTAAAAATGCGAATTTTTTTTACTTCGGCTGAAAAATGAAAAAAAAACAAAATTGTCGTAATTTTTATTACGGAAACATACGAAAAGTGTAAAATGTTGAATAAATTGAAGAAAAGGTTATAAAAAGTAGGAAATCGAAAATTAGGTAAAGGAAAATATTATCAAAACACGAAATAGTCTTAGTTATATAAAATGCATAAACCAATAATTGTAAATACCAATTATTTTTCCCTGTTAAATTATACAAAAACATAAAATATTGTAAAATGACGAAAATTCATTTATTTTAAAAAAGAAGTCAAGCGCGCTTGCAAGCAATGTAAAATATTTTGGACGTGTTCAATGTTGCCACATGTACATTTTTTTGCGGAGTAAATATATTGAATTTAAATTTTTAATAACAATAACCTAACCTAAACGAACTACATCTAAAATTTTAAATAAAAATAAAACTGCCTGGAGTCTGGCATTGCAAATTTAGCAATGCGAAACTAATTATGGTTCATAAAAAGGAACACACGGTTTTAACTCAAGGTGAAATGAATTACTTTAGTAACACGGGAATGCCTAAAGATGTTTGTAATAAAAATGTTCGTTTTTATCCATTTAGCGAGATGAAATACCACTAAGCAACAAACTTTAAAGGCGATAAAGCTTCCATTATTAGTTTTCTGGATAAACATTATGGTGAAGACTGGAGAAAACTACCAGAACTAGACTTCTACAATATGATCTTTAAGTAATCTGCTGTAAGTACAATAAGAAGTGAAAGTGACCAAGATTTATGTGAGAACGAAAACAACTAAAATCATGTAATTTTTTACCTGTTATTCCTCAGTTTTTGTATAAAAGATATTTGAAACTGAATTTTGTTATTTGAAAACCTTTTTTATAAACCTATGTTTATAACACTTTATTTGATGTTTAATTAAAAAGCTTTAATGAGTTTCAGTAATTAATTTATTTGCAAACCTCTCTCTTTGCAAAAACTATAAGAGAGTTAAATTTACGATCATCATTACCCATTATTAATGAATATATATTTGTATTGGCTAAAAATGTATTACAGTATACTCCCTCTATAACGAGGCACATTAGATGTCCCGTGAAATTTCTTTTGAACTATAACCTTCAATAGCGAGGCAAATTTGATTATAACGAGAGAAAATAAGATAAAAAAACGTGTTTTTTTCAGTTTTTCAAAACCTTGGCTATAAATAAATACTCTTTTTAACTGCCAGCCTAAACTAACAGCCCTTCGTGAGTTTTAGCCGACTCCACAACATGCCTCCACTGTTTTCTGTCTTGAGTAATCTCCATCCAATTCTCCACGCCCATAGTGCTTAGGTCTCCTGCTATATTATCTAGCCACCGGAGACGAGGGCGTCCGCCTGGTCTGCTTCCAGTTGGGACTTCCTCCCACACCAGTCTTACTGTTCGTTCGTCAGAATGTCTTCTGAGGTGTCCTACCCATTGGAGTCTTCTGGACTTTATTTCTTTTATGATGTAGGCGTCTGGGTAGAGTTCTTCGAGCTCTTTGTTAGTTCTTATCCTATATTGTCCTGATGCTTCATCCAGCACAGGACCAAAGATCTTCCTTAGGTACTTTTTCTTTCATAAACATATAGTCTCCCTTCGTTTGCCTTTGTTATCGTCCACGTTTCGCTTCCATACATCACAACGGGTCGTATGCTTGTTTTATAGACCTGTACCTTCGTCTTGTTAGTTGTTTCGATTTTATAAAGTTTTGGAGGGCAAAAAGGCATCTGTTGTCGGCCTGAATCCTGTTGTTTATTTATTGTGATCCGTTATTGAGTT